ATAATGAATTGGAGTCTTTCGTGCAGAAGGTGGGGGATCAAAGTCAAGAACTAACAGAGAAGCAGAGGGAGTTGGGGAGACTTTGGACCTCCATTCAAGATGAACACTTGAGATTTATGGAGGCTGAAACAGCATTTCAAACTCTGCAACATTTACACTCTCAATCTCAGGAAGAACTTACAGCTCTGGCCATGGAGCTTCAGAATAGGGCTCAAATTTTACAGGACATTGAAACTCATAATCAGGGTTTAAAGGATGAACTATTGAGAGTCAAGGAGGAGAATAACAGCTTGAATGAACTCTATTTAAGTTCAGCAGTGTCCATCAAGAGTTTGCAAGATGAGATCTTAAGCTTAAGGGAGACTATAGCAAAACTTGATGGAGAAGTTGAACTTAGAGTGGACCAAAGAAATGCTCTTCAGCAAGAAATTTATTGTTTGAAAGAGGAACTCAATGACTTTAACAGGAGACACCAGGAGATGACAGGGCAGCTGGAGTCAGTTGGCTTAAATCCAGAAAACTTTGCATCATCTGTGAATGAATTGCAGGATGAGAACACAAAGCTAAAAGATGTCTGCAAAAGAGACAGAGATGAAAAGCTGGCCCTCCTTGAGAAGTTGAAAATCATGGAGAAACTTATCGAGAAAAATGCTCTTTTAGAGAATTCACTCTCAGATGTGAATGTCGAGCTAGAAAGTGTTCGGGGGAGAGTAGAGACACTGGAAGAATCCTGGCAATCTTTTTTGAGAGAGAAATCCACCCTTGCTGCAGAGAAGAACGCATTCATTTCTCAGTTACAGATTGCTACTGAGAATTTGGAGAAGCTTTCAGAGAAGAATAACTTTCTGGATAATTCCCTTTTTGATACTAATGCCGAACTTGAAGGATTGAGGGTAAAATCAAGGAGCTTAGAAAATTCATACCTGTTGCTTGGTGACGAGAAGTCTGACCTGATAAGACAGAGAGAAGGTTTGATTTCTCAGTTGGATGTCAGTCAGAAAAGGCTGGAAGATTTAGAAAAAAGATATCAGGGATTAGAAGAAAAATATGTGGGTGTGGAGAAAGATAGAGAATCAACACTTCGTGAAGTAGAAGAGCTACAAAAGTCACTGGAGGCTGAAAAGCAAGAACATGCTAGTATTGTGCAGTTGAATGAAACCCAAGTAACTGCTATGGAATCTCAGATCCATTTTCTACAAGGGGAAAGTCTGTGCAGGAAGAAAGAATATGAAGAGGAACTTCACAAGGCCATGAATACTCAGGTAGAAATTTTCATCTTGCAGAAATGTGCACAAGATCTGGAAGAGAAGAATTTATCCCTGTTGCTTGAGTGTAGGAAACTCTTGGAAGCCTCCAAATTATCTGAAAGACTTATCTCTAAATTGGAGCTTGGAAATTCTGCAAAACAGACAGAGATAAAGTCCTTGTTTGATAATATTACCATAATGAGGGTGGGGCTTTATCAGATGTTGAGGACTCTTAAGATTGATGGTATCCATGGTTATGATGATGAGATCAAACAAGACCAATCAGTTCTTGACCATGTATTTGGCGGACTCCAAGAGATGCAAAATTCACTTCTAAAGTCTCTGGATGAAAATCAGCAATTTGTAATTGAGAATTCAGTTCTTATTGCACTGCTTGGGCAACTGAAACTAGAGGCAGAAAATCTTGCTACAGAGAAGAATTCACTGCATCAGGAGTTGAAGGTTCAGTCTGAGCAGTTTCCAGAGCTGCAGAACAGAGCTGAAAAACTTGCTGATATAAATGAAGAACTGAGATCAAAAGTGATAGAGGGAGGCCGAAGAGAAGAAGTTTTGCAGACTGAAATAGGGTTTGTTCATGGGCAACTGTTAGTCTTGCAAAGGGAATATCAGAATTCATTGGAAGAGAACTGCAAGGTGCTGGACGAGAAAAGGTCTTTGATGAAGGAAGTTTTAGACTTGGGCAAGGAGAAAGATAATCTAGAAGAGGAAAACTATGCTGTCTTTGCTGAAGCAATATCTGAAAGTAATATTTCTCTTATTTTCAAGGATGTTATTGCTGATAATTTTGAGGAAATAAAGCATCTCAGTGGCAAACTGGATAAACTCAAATGTGTCAATAATGATCTTGAGGGAAAAGTGAGGATAATGGAGAGAAAGTTTGAAGATATGCAAATGGAAAACTCACATCTCAAAGATTCAATGGAAAACTTGGAGAATGAACTGGTTTCAGTTAGATCTGTTGGTGATCAGTTAAATGATGAAGTTGCGAAGGGAAGGGATCTGCTGGGCCAGAAGGAGAATGCACTTTTGGAAGCAGAACAAATGCTCAATGCGAGTAAAGAGGAGAGAGCCCAATTGCATAAAGTTGTGGAGGATCTAAAGACTAAATATGAGGAGATCAAGCTGATAGGAGAAGATCAAAAGAAGCAAAATTTGAAACTATCTGGAGACTATGATCATCAAAGTAAGGAGATTGAAAGTATTCGCCTGGCTAATCAGAACTTTGAGGCTGAATTGTCAAAATTGAATGAGGAACTTGAAGAAAGGAAACAGAGGGAGGAGAGTTTGCGTGTTGAACTGCAAAACGGAAGAAATGAGGTTGAACTTTGGGAAACTCAGGCTGCTGCATTGTTCAGTGAGATACATATTTCTGCTGTCTGTGAAGCATTGCTTGAAGAGAAGGCTCTTGAGCTCAGTAAGGAATGTGAAGTTCTTGAAAGTAGAAGTAATTCCAAAGCTATGGAGGTAGAAGAGCTGGAAAGAAGTGTTAGAATCTTGGAACGTGAGAATGGAGAACTTAAAGCTCAGTTGGCAGCATATGTTCCAGCTATTGTTTCTCTCATGGACAGCGTGACATCTTTGGAGAGTCGAATTCTCTGGCATCCTAAACTTCCCACAGATTATAATGAAGAAGTAAAGTTAATAACTGTTTGTTTGCTTATGACTTCATGTCTGCTTTTTAAATTTTAATAAACCAAAGCAATATGGCCTTGTTCATGCTATTTGGTTGAATGTACTACTTGAGTGCTAATCCAACCACGTGTCTGTGACCTGTATGAGCATCTAGTGGTTTATTTACACAAGAAACTGATATTGCTGCTTTCCATTCTTTTAAAGTCAGTTGTTTTTTAATTCACTTTCAATTTTGACTGCAAATTTAAGTCCCTAGTTCTCCAAGTTTGCACCAGTATACATTGACTAGCATGGTCATTTTTGAAACTTCTTGCTTATGAGAAAGGTGTTTAGTATTTTTTTTGAATTAATGTTTGTCACCGTTGTTTCTTAGACTATTTAGGGACGCATTAGCTGTTACCATATAGTGAATTTCAAATGCTTTTTTAAGTAGTTGTTGTCTTGATCTTTGTGTTAATGGAATATGTGATTTGTGGTTGTTTTACTTCCGCAAGGCCTAGATATTTCATGTAGTATTACCAAGATGTTTTGCAATACTAAAAGCATGTCAGAACTTTGTGAAAGTGTAAGCTAGTCCTGTTTAGACCTTAATAGGTTGCATACAAATGGGACCTTCTTGTCAATAAATTATCATTTTTGTTAACAGTGCTATGGATCTTGGATGGTTATAGCTGTGATTCTTTGACTTACAGTTGTCTTGTTTTCCAGGATTCCAATCTGGGGACTGAAGTGCATACTGAAAACTGTCAACAAACAAGTGAAGATCAAATTGTTCCAGATCGTTTTTCTGACTTGCAGGATATCCATATGAGAATTAAAGCTATTGAAAAAGCAGTGCTGGAAATGGAAAAGTTTGCAATGCTGGAAACCTTAAATCTCAATTCCAAACTTGAGACTGCTATGAGACAGATTGAAGAGTTAAGATATGGGAGCAGCTCATGTCGAGAAAGTGTTAGAGCAAAGAGGCACATGAATGCTAGACAAGAAGTGGGGGAACTTGGCCATGGACTCAGTAACAATGTCAAAATGCAGAGATCAACACCTGAAATCTCTGAAGAAGACAATGAGATGTTGACAAAGGACATTATGCTTGATCAGATATCTGGGTGCTTATCCTATGGGTTAAGCAGGAGAGAAACTGCAGAGGTTGATGATCAAATGCGTGAGTTGTGGGAAGCCGCCGACCATGATGGTAACATCAACTTGAAAGTTGGAAAGGACCAGAAGATGGCCACTGCACCAGCTGACTACCGACAGATTGGTACAGTGAAGGCACACAAGGGCAAAAATCTCTCTGCAGAATCTCTTGTGAAGGTGTTGAGTATAGATAAAGAGAGCTCTAACAGATTTACAGAGCCCAACCAAGAAGGAAGCAAGAGGAAGATTTTAGAGAGACTTGATTCTGACACACAAAAGTTGGCTAACCTGCAAACTACTGTGCAGGATCTGAAGAGGAAGGTGGAGATAACTGAGACAAGCAAAAAGGGGAAAGGAATTGAATATGGTACAGTGAAAGAGCAGCTAGAAGAAGCTGAGGAAGCCATCATGAAGCTATTTGATGTTAATTGCAAATTGATGACACATGTTGAAGATGGTTCCTGGTCTCTTGATGGGAAATCTGCATTAGAATTGGATGAGAGTGGGAATGTTAGGAGCAGGAGAGTATCAGAACAAGCTCGAAAAGGGTCTGAAAAGATTGGGCGGTTGCAGTTGGAGGTGCAGAAAATACAGTTTCTCCTACTGAAGCTTGATGATGAAAAAGAAAGCAGAGGACGAACCAGAATCACTGAGCATGAAACAAGAGTTTTATTGCGAGACTATCTTTATGGTGGGGTGAGAACCAGCCAGAAGAAGAAGAAAGCGCCCTTTTGTGCATGCATGTGACCCCTGATTAAAGGAGATTGAGGCAATTACTTAACATCGGCACATAATCAGTGTAGGTTACCGGTAATGAGAATTTAGTTGCATTGTCAATAAATCTGCCTTCCTAGTTTTGTGTTTCACATATTTATTTTTCTTGCTTTCTTCTTCGTTAGTTTAGAGACCCTGCTGTATATTTCAAGCACCATCTAATTGATAGAAGCTGCTCCGTATAGCCTAAAAGTTCCCTTCTTTATACGTTTACCTCAGCACAAATCTGGATTTCAATGGAAATTATTTTTTAGAGGTCAATTAATGTTGTTTTTCAATGCGTTAATCTTTTGCATGTTGCATTGCGAGCCGTTTTAAGTTTTTTTCACTCTGGAGTGGACTGAGCTCCATTGCAGGGAAATTTTGGAAGGAAATGCCATGCTCAGAATTGTGGCCAAGTTGCTACAATTGCTATGGTCAAAATAGTGCATTTAGGTCAGATGGGTTTTGGAGGACGACACAGGACAATTATAGAACGCCCGCAATTGAATCTCCAGACTCAATGAAGAGCCTCTCGTTCCATTTGAAATCTTCACATCTTCCATTCCTGTAGTTTGTTAGTGTCTTTTTTCTTTTTTAAACAGTCCAGACTAGATGCAATCTTGATGGCACATGTAATGCATACTTAAGGGCAACAAATACCATGATGTATAAAGATCAGACGATATCTTTCCCTTAACTTTGCCCTTTCCTGTTTGAGAAACAATTACTTTCCATACAGGATTTTGTTTTATGTCAATTAGCCATTGTGATTTATGTCAATAATGCAAATTCATCTTTGCAGCTGAGCATTGCAGCCGGAACCATATCAGTAAGGAGAAAAAAAAAAATTATGATACAATTCTTTAAACGCTTATCTTTCAAAGCTAGGCATGGACTTTCCAGTCATACAACAACCAACAGCATGACCTGAACCTGCTATGATGTTTACAAAAAACAATCGTGATCTGTATGTGAAGGATGCCTAACGCATTTTTTTGCAATTAAAAAATCATAGTTTCTTTAGGGGTCCACCCCCATCGAACCTTTTCATAACACAATTGACGCTTAAATATCTTTCGAATTACTTTGCTGGAGCTTTCTCTTACTCTGCGACAAGTATTTGGCTAGGTTTTCCCGCATGGTTTTGCCTGTTAGATCAACCTGCTTACAGCATTGCTCTCCATAACCCAAGTCATGGTGACCAGATAAGGCAACATCAGGATGCAACTGATCTCCACTGTCAATGATAATATTATGAAGCAAACAACACACCAAAATGATACTAGGCAATTTTCGCTTATCAGGTCTCCACATGACTTTGTTAAGGATTCTCCAACTGCCCTTTAACTGCAAAAATGCCCTCACTGCAAGCAACCTTGCAACTTCATGACTGGCATTAAAATTGATAGACATGAAAGAGGAGAGGCCATTAATTTCATATGGAGTTATGAGCCAGGGAAGAAGAGGATATGCAGCACCACCAACTATGAATTCTCTCATTTCTAATCCTTCTGACAAAGTCCTTATTCTTCCATTCAATCGATCCCTAGCCTCACAGAGCCTGAAAAATCCTGAACATTTGAGTAATCTAGACACACTCATGCCACCAGGCCAACCTGTTACAATATCAAGAAATCGCATCTCATGGTCTACAATTCCCTGCAAGAACATACTGTAATTGCTCTCTTGGTCACACCAATCATCCGAAGTCTGAACTGCTGGAAGAGTCATGATAATATGTGTTGCATCTACAGCTCCACAACAATTAGGCAACCCAAATGAAGCTTCAAATTTCAATTTAATATCTTCCATTCTATTGGAATCAGGCCACTTAAGATGGTGCTTGGCACGTTCTTCCAATGCTTCAATAAATCTCCAAGTCACTTGAGATACAGTAGATTGGCCAACCCCAAAGGAAACTCCAACTGACACCTGAGACTCGCAGGATGCTAACCTTCTTAGGGCAATTGCAACTTGTTTCTCAACACTGAGAAGCCTTCCCTCAATGTTGATAAGCCCTGATGGTGGCCTCGACACAAGGTCTTCTCTCACAAGGGAACAAATGTAATCAAATGTCTTCCTCGCAACCCTGAAGAAATACTTGAACCCTTCTTCCTCATTTGACGGTATTGAGAGACCTGCCAGTTGGGGCTCACTTCCAATGAGATCAAATAAAAAAAAAAATCATTTCTGACTGTAAAGCAAAACAACTGAAAAACTTTTCGCTATTGCTCAAATTCAATTCCAACATTTCAGAATTCAGATCTTAAAACCCGCATGTCTGCTTCATACAAATGGCAAGGTAATGCGATTATTCAAGCTGAAAATATCAACTTCAACCTGACAATTAACCATGTTAAAGGTGGGCAATCTAGCTATGACTATGAAAACCCATTACTTTAATAAAACGAAATTAAAGCTATCTGCAAAGTGAAATGAAATGAAATGGGCAAAAGATTGGTTTATTTATTTATTTTAAAGTTGAAAGTTAGAACCTGGAGTTGTAGAGTTCTTGTGCCAGAAACTAACCCACCAATCAGGCTCCGTAACTCTGGGTTCTACAGGAACCATGCTAACGCTTTTGTTTTTCTTCAATTTCTTTGATGATTTCTTCGTTTTCTTCGATTTCTTGGTAGGAACCATCGGAAAAGCCTAAGAATTCTTCAACTGTTTTGTTTGGCTAATGCAGTATTCCAGTTAACAAGGGCTGGTTTCAGCAGAAGATGTTTGATACACGAGAAAGCGAAAGGAAGAAAAAATGGCGATCAACCGAAAAGCAAACCGCACTCTTGTCACACTTTTTTTTTAAAATTTTTTTTTATTTGGGATTTTCCAATTACTCTCACGTCTCCAACTTTTCTTAAAGGCATGACAATATTATGGAAAAACTTCAAAATTATTTACATAATAATTAATTAAATTTGTCTGATAACATTTTTATTATTGTAACCCTCAATTTAATTAAGGTAACTTAATTTCTAGCTTCTTTTCAACTTTTCCTTCCCAATTATTAAGCTTAAGGGATAGGGAAAGCTTTCTGTGAATTATTTGCCCGAGTCTTCTCCCATGGAAAAGCAAAATGAATTAGCACATCAATGGCCTTCTGTGATTCTCAGATGCGCAAGTGAATAATACATACTTGGCCTTTAATTAAAAATTAAAAAAAAAATTATGTTTCTGCTGCACCAAAATATAATTGTTTAGACATTGTTCCATGGCTGTGATTCCTTTTTGGTGGAGTCTGGTTTGCATGTATGAAGCTTGTAATTGCAGGCTTCAACTGCTTCTCCTACTGTCAAATATATCCATTCTTGACCAATGTTTTCCAGGAACTTGGATTTGTTGAGTTTCTTCATCACTTCAGCTCCAGGGTTGGCCAATACAAGCTATAAAAGTAGAAAGATTTAGAATATGGTCACCCTTTTGCTAGAGGCTGGTGTTAAATATTGACCACTTTAGAGAATGCGAAGAAATTGTAGGAGAAAATACCTTGAGCCCCCTTCTGTCAATAGTTTTCTTGACCTCTTCAAGCATGCTTATTCCACTGGTGTCAATGTTACCAACAGCTGTGAACCAAAAATGCAATCCTTGTGAGATTCCGGAATTTTATTTTATTTTATTTTATGTTAGAAATAATGTGCTGCAGTTTTTTCCGGATAAAGATCACCCACCACTCATATCAAGTATAACATACTGTAAGCTGGTTTCCTCTGTAGATTTCGGCTTGTCTTCCTCTTCGTCAATCCACCTTGAGATCCTGATAAGATTAGCAATCTCATCGATCAACATTTGTTTTATTTGATCAAATGAAGATGTCTAATAACTCTGAAATTGATTTGATACTGTCTAAGGTAGTATTAAGGAATGAAATTCTAGTACCTTTCTCTTAAATAGCTTGAGTTGGCAAAGTAAATTGGAGCATCTATCTCAAGTATAAGAACACCAGGCACATTGTCTGTTTTTGGATATTGCTCAACATTTCTGTAGATGGTGGAATTAGGAATGTTTCCAAGAACAATGGTCCTTGGTCTTGCAACAAACAGAAGCAATCTGAGCACAGAAATTGCAACCTGCATTTTGCACAAAGGATTCATTAGGTGAGGATTAGAGAAATTTGTTCTTGGATGAAAAAATAAGTTAATTTCAGCTGTTTTTGGTTCATATATATGATCGTACCGCTATGATTAAGCCAACCTCCACGCTTGCAAAAACGACACCAATATATGCACTCATACACACCACAAAATCAAATTTATCGACCTTCCAAAGACAAATGGCAGCTTCATAATCAATGAGGCCAAGAATAGCAGCAATTATAATTGCAGACAACACTACAAGGGGAGTGTAATGGAACAATGGTGTTAGGAACAGCAACGTGAACATAACTGCAATGGCCATGATAACATTCGACATTGCTGTTTTGCATCCTGCATTGAAGTTAACAGCAGATCGAGAAAATGGCCCTGAAATATATCAACGGCAATGGCACAGTTAGCAAATTAGAAAACTTATTTATATATAGTTTAATACAAAACCAGTAGCAAAAACTTCAAATTAGTGAAATTTCACTTGAATAACTTAAAAAAGATTTACCTGTTGTGAGATAGCAAGAAAAGCAAGAACCAACAATATTCATGGTCCCAATAGCTACCATTTCTTTGTTGCCATCAACATGGTAATGCTTGAACATTGCAAAACTTCTCCCCACTGCTATTCCTTCCTGTATTCACAGCAACCAACAACTTCAATCAGTCTATATTTTATCATTTCCCATAGGTCCAATAATCAAAGGAAATAGATATTCCATGGCCCATGCTGTTGTTTATTTGTCCTTAGCTAATAAAAAGAACTACTACATTTCCAGTCTTCTTGTCTTTCTAACTGCTGGTTGTTCAAAGAAATGCATCACATTTTCCCATAATTAGAAGCAATTTTGGCTATGGTAAAACACACATGGAATTGAAAATGTGTAGAGTTAGAGATAAGTTAAAATGCAACTTACAGCAAGAGCAATGATGCCAGTGATCATGCCAGTTTTCGCAGCCGTTGACATATAAGGCGAGGTAAATACAAAATCCCCAAAAGACGGTGGATTCAACCCCTTCTTCAGGTTTCCTATCTGCCAATGTCACACCACCAAATTTCAACCAATCAGAACTCTTCATCTTTCGTGACATAAAAAAAAAAAAAAAATCCCCATAAACATGTAGTAACTTTGCTTTAGAAAATGAAATACTGTGATCATTCATTTAACCAAAGACAAAAACCAAATGAAATCAATTGATGGGAGCCGCTCTTATGCAGCTAGAGGTGTGCCTAGGCTGCAGAGGTATTATTGGTGGGCCCACTAAAATTATTAGGATTGGACCAATCCAACTTATCTAAAAGGCCGAAAATGCTTCTATAATGGGTCTTGGCCAACTATGACCTTACTTGTTCTAGTGGTCCAAAATGTCGCCCGTTGGACTGTTTCGCTGCTTTTGTCCCGATTCTTAATTTTTTTTGTAAAGGTATGATTCAAGTTCAAAAGTTACGGTAAGGGTCAGCTACTATAATTATACAAGAAAAAGAAAAAGGGCAAAGCGCTTACCACTTGAACACCGTGTTTTTCGGCATGGGTGAGAAAAACGAGAAGACTTCCAAGAATGATTGATGCCAAAGGTGCCATTGCTGATATCCAAAAGAACTTAGGTCGTCTCTTGCTCTGTTTGTCCTCAAACCCATCCAATAATTTATTATTAGATTAAGTAAGATATTAAGAAAATAACATACTTTTCTCATACAATAAGCTCAAAAGTCCAAGTTTCAAGACTTGCCAATTTGAAAATTTGACGCCAATGAAGACTGAACATCTTCACTATTCTTTCTTTTGCCATAAATAAATGAAGTGGGAGCAGGTTTAGAGCCCAAAATGGAGAAAAGTTGCATAACAAAGATTATTATGGACAACACTTTTCTTAATTGTATGTTAAATGATAGCACTTTTCTTGAAAAGTTGTAAGCTATAAGTTTTGCAGACAATGGGCGTGGAAAAATTTTGCAGACATTAGATCTACTTACGAAATATTTGGTGATGAGAAGGAAGAAGAGGAAACCAACGCCCAACACAGCACTCTCCCATCTCCACTGTCAAATATTACATATTATGGCTGTCATTCTCAGACAATATTATATATATTAACCACACAAACTACAGCATACAATTTTTTTTTTTTAATTCTAACTACTATTATGAGATCAAACAAAATCTTTCTTTATTAATTATTACCTTCGTCATTATCAGTAGTATAAATATATATATAAATAAATTTTACGTTTTTTTATAATTATATATTATACGTGCTGAAATACCTGTGATTCGTGAATAGTAAGCAATAATATAGATCACATGCCAGACACTCCTATGCTTCTTAGTTAATCGGGTAAATGGAAAAATACTATTTATGGTAATATATAATTTTTTTTAATTTCTTTTTTTCTATATTATTTTTTTATTTGAGAAAAAAAAGGAATTCGAACTCTATCTTTTATGAAAAAAAAAACATATATTACCAACTAACAAAGTCGAATAATCGAATGTTAAAATATCAATATTAAATGCATGCTTCTTAAGTGAATAAAAATGTATTCAAAATTTTGATTTAATAATTAATTCATGTTTTTCTAATAGTTGGATTGAATCTTCTTCTTGAATTAAAAAAAATGGGATAAAGCCATAAAAGCAGTGAAATAAAAGATAGATGACCTCATCAGTTTGGGTGAAAACAGAGCGCAAGACGGAGATAATGTCGGTAGACTGAGTAAAGTGATCAAGTCCTAGAATTCCCTTTAGCTGTTGCAAGCATACTACAGTGGCTGCCCCTGCCATGAAGCCTACTATCGTCGCATGTGACAGAAAATCCACAATAAACCCTAGCCTGCATACCCCCAGTTCAACATCAACAAAAAGAGAAAAAAGTAAAATTAATTTACCACGAAGGATTGCTGCTAATTATTCTAGTGTAAAAACAAGGTTTCTTTCTGTTTCTTTTGCTATTGTTAATTTTATTATGAAGACTCGATCGTCTCGTATCCTTATTCGACAATAAATGACAATTAACCTTATGAAAGCAATGGTTCAATCGCATTCAGTTGCAGATTCTCTGTTATAGTCGTATTTCCTTTTTTTTTTTTTAATTACTGATTGACATGAAATTTTTTTGATTGATGTAAGGACATCCAGCCAGACAGCAGCAAAGGACAAAAATTCCAGCAGGGAGAAGACAAAGTACAACATGTTCTGATGTTTCTCTTTTCGTGAATTTTAAAGACCCTCTTTAACCAAAAATGCCGCGTCTCGAATTCTTGTTTTTAAACCAAATAAATTATCCTTTAAGCGTAATTTTCATTCTTTTTTTAACACAAAGTCCGCAAACTTTACAGAACCTGAAAAGGGGAAACAAGAGGAAGAGAATAATTAAAGACATACCTTAACAGGCCTAACGAAGCTTGCAGAAGTCCGGCAAATAAAGTAGCTGTGAAAGCAAGGTGAAGGTAAAGCGTGGGATTCTCACTAGCGTTCACTTCCTGCCCCAACATAGAAGCCGTAAGAAGTGATGCAACAGCAACAGTCCCTACTGCCAAATCTCTTGAGCTCCCCATCATCGCATAAACCAGTGGTGGAATAAAGCTTGAATCTTCATTTTCCCAACAAGAACAAAAAAAAGGTGTTGATCATACCCTTCAACAACAACTCATGAGCCAAGCTACTGAAATAAATCAGTTGTGTAACCTAATGAAGTTACTATATTTAATTAGAACTTACATAGGCCGAGAATGGGTGGCAAGTTAGCGAGCTTCGCATAGCTAATACCCTGAGGGATTGCAAGACTGGCGATGGTGATCCCAGCAATGAGGTCAGCTTTCAAAAACTGTAAGCTGTAACGAGGAGCCCAATCAAGAATTGGCAAGAAATATCCCAGGCCTAGTATAAATTTCCGAGAGGGTGTTTTGTTCTTGAATTGCCTAAGTGGGTCATCTGGAAAAAACGTCTCCTTGAGAGAAT